TTCCCTACTAACAAATCTCAAAACTGCTTACTATTGTATGACTGCAGTTTATAGGCATCAGCAGTAAAAATACCTTTAGTAAAAATGCCTTTTAATTTTTTCCAAGATGAATATCTGAAGGAAATAGAAAATTCTTGTAAGTTATAGAATTCTTTTTAAAATCACTTTATGTAAATATTACCAAATTATTCATAATCTGTTTATTGACTGAAGTTTAAAAAGTTGTTTGCAGGATAGACTTTTCTACTACTGTGTGTTTATTTTCTAATTTCATAATCATAACTTGCCATATTGAACTTATTTGAAATGGTAAACAAGTATGGGATTTTCCCATCTTGTTTGGTGTCCAGACCATTTTTCCTGCAGTCACTCCTTCCTTGTCATTTTGCAGTCACTATGCCACCAAAGTTGGGTTTGTACTCTGCAGGTTAGTATCTTATTTTCTAAAAAGAAAGAAAGAACAAAGCCAAAGATGCTAAGTTCTTATTATTTTAACAGTAACTATGTGTACAGCTGGCTGAAGGAGTATTACAAAAATTAATGAGATATTCTGCCTTTTTCCCAACTGCTGGTTTTTTTTTCTGTCTTTCAGGTTCAGTATTTACATGCCTTACTGTAGCACTGGGATTTTATCGTCTATGGATGTAATAAAGTGTCTACTTAAAAGGACTTGTACTGTCTTGCCTTATGAAAATCAAGGATATTTTCACTTTAGCTACAAGAATTTTTTCCTGAATGAAAAATAATGTTTATTATTTTATTTATATTTATTTTTATAGCAAACTACATTGAGAATGTAACAAAAATGTGCCTAGAAAAAATATCTGTACTATTTCAGTACCTAATGGAAAGAGAAACTTGCCTCTGGTCAGAGCAAAGTAGAGAATATGCAGCACTGCCAATCCCCTTGCATCCTAAATTGTAATATCTCCATACTTTTGTAGTTCTAGGGTTTCAGTTAAGTAGAGACTGCCAGTCATGCCAAATTATATAATTGCTCTTGTGGAGAGGTCTGCTAAAGATTATATACCAAACTCTCCTGAGGCATGCATGCCTAATGGTAGATACTTGTATCAGAGCAGAGTTGATCACAAATTTTAAACCTTTTAGTACCATTTTGTGACTGCAAGGGACTCCTAGACCTAATTTTAATGAAATGCAAGTTGATTAAACTAGAGGCATACATTCTTTTCCCCCATGTTCATCTGTCTATACTCTCTGTGCTACAAATACATATATTTATATACTTATTATAAAGAAATATTTTTTCTATTTGTTATACTAATTATGTGCATCATAGTTTGTTTCCCAGATGGCCGTCCAAACAACTGTACTTCATTAGAAATTGTTCTGTAATAAGTGTCTTTACCACCTTTTTGTAGGTTTGATATGTAGTGTGCTAAGAGCTGTTGCAACTTTTAAAACACACAGGGCTCTGAAACTCATTCCCTATGGCAATTGTGAACTTGGTTCTAAAACTGGAACAGAGTTTTGGAGCGTAGTAACATGCATTCACTTGTATTATCTCTTGTAAAGCACGTAGAAAATATTCTCTGTTGCTTGGTTCATAGAAGGGAATTGCATCTTCTGCACGTGATAAATTAAAGATGGTTAAACTTCTGGGGAGAAAATGCAAGCACTTGAATGGTGTATGATGTACTGGTATGGGCTGCCTCAGCTCTTTGGTCACAAATAGGATGTCTGCACTAAACATTTTTATTTTTAATTATCTCTGGTTATCCAAACAGTGCGGCTACAGTTAACAAATGGTAGGAACATTAGTGTAGACCACTAGCTCAAAGCAAGTCTATGTGAAATGGTAGGTCATTTTAATGTCTGCTCTGTTGGTAGCTCTTCCACTAATGGTAGCAATGGAAGAAAGTTACAGGTAAAACAGGGTAGATTATCCAGAGGTCCAGTCTTTGTCCTCTGACCAATGAACTTCTCTCCCTGCATTTGTTTGTTTGCCTTGTCTTTCTCTGGTATAAGCTGATGACAGATGCCAACATGCAATGGTGGAAGGAGGCATGATTTGTGAGCCTGATCTAGCCTGTAGGGGTAGCCCTGCGCTGTTCATTTGGCCTATGGACTAGCCCTGCACCATTCATCTGGCCCTGAAGGCCAAATGAGTTTAATACCCCTAATTTAATGAAATCAGGGGAAACTGGGTAACTTAGCCTGTATTGTAGTAGCTGTAATTTTCTCATGTTCGAGGTTATTGCTGGTTAGCCTGAAATGAAGAGGCAGCCAGGTAGAAATGGAGATGTCTTGAAAAAGAGGAAGGTATTTGGGATATTTTTCAAATGATATATTTAATTCATTAAAAATGCAACTTTAAACTTTTACTTAAAGCAAGAAGTTTAATAATTCTTGACAAAACAAACATTTTTGTCCTTGTAGCAGTGACTCCAAAATAGCTAAATTTGATGTTAACTCACAGTGAGAAACTAAGTAAACAATGGGACTTTTAAAGTACAGTAAAGAAGAGGATGTTCAACTGGCAGCATAAAGGAAGCTAGCATTCTAAAACAACATCCTCCACCTCTCCAGCCTCTTTTGACTTTTTTTTCTCAGTAAAAAATATTACCAAAAAAATTGCTCAAGGCGGTTGTGTTTGAAGCTATGTGTATGAATGTATTTATAATTTCACAGTTTAAAATGTCAGAAAATCATAATTTAATAGATGTTAGATGCAGTCTACTTCAGTATTTGAGTAATAGCAAAAAAGGAACTATATTTCTCTGTAACAAGAATCCATTTTGATCATCTGGATGCTATGCAGTTAATGAGTAGCCGTTTTAGTAAAATAGTGGGTTTTTAAGAATTTAGACTTTGTTCACTTCTCAGCAGAATCCATTCTATATTTAAAATTAAAGGCATTTTTATACAAATGGAGTCAGACTCTGCAGTAAAATAAAATTATAAGATTATAGGACACTTACTCCAGAAGTGGATCTTCTTGAGAAAATAGTTTTTCAATGACTACCATAGATCTGGATTCAGGTTGAACATTACAATCAGAAAAAGAGCAACATTAGGAATATCCCAGTCTCAGATTCTCCAGGTATAGTGGTGTTTTTGTTTTGTAACCATGACATTTCCAACTTATGTACACAGATGAAAATATGGATCAAGGGGCATAATGTTTTGCTGTGCATTTGGGTTGCATGCCACTAATCTCTAACAGAGAGATTAAAGTTCACTTTCCTTTCTTTTCTTCATTTTATATTTCCCCTTTTCCTTTTCCTTTCCTATTCTTTTCCTTTGCAAAGCCTCTAGAAATTCATCACAGTACAATTTAAGACCATCTCAGAACAGATCAGCTATGATGATCAGTTTAGTCTAAAATACTTGTAAAAACTGTACTAATTTTGCTTGCATTGGCCTTCAAAAAAAAAAGTGGGAAGGGATGTTTGATGTTTTCAGTCTGAAACATATAACCAAAAGCCCAAGTGACTGATAAAAATGAGGAGCAGATATATCAGCCCACTTACCAACTGCCTTTTGGCTCTTTAGATGAAATCTCACTTTTCAAATGATCACTAAAAGCCACAGCTGAGAAACCCAATTCGATCACCATTATTTTTTCTGTTCCTTTTCTTTTTTCCCCCTCTATAGTTGTGTTATTAAATGGCTTTAGTCTGGTATAGCATGCTCCATATCAAGACTTGAAATGTATTTTTGCATCAGATCTCAGGATTTTGTTGTTTTGGGTTTTTTGTTTTTTTTTTACTGGCAGGTTTCATTTTAAGAGTGTGGTTGTTTGGCACAGCCGAAAACTGAGTGGGCTTTCATCTTTAATAAATTCCTTCAATTCTAAGAGCCTGAAGGCAGCTTTCCTGCTAACCTACCAGGTTGATTATTGCACAGTATGTTGTTGTGTGGGAAATAAGAAGTCAGGCCCTGAGCATCCTTAAGCTAACACAGACAGGAAGCTCTGGGGAGAGAGGGAGGGAGGGCTGGAGGTTGAGACTAGCAGTCTCTGCCACAAGTACAGGTTGATCCTACAATAAAATAAGCCTTGAGGCTCTGAGGAATAAATGCAAATCAAGCAGGACATCTCAGAAAATAAACTTGTTAATATAACAGAGGGAATATTGAGACTGGCACATTCTATCACCCCCCCCCTTCTTTTCTTTTCTTTTCTTTTCTTTTCTTTTCTTTTCTTTTCTTTTCTTTCATTTGTTTAGTGTCGTAAATGACCAAAAAATTCAATAACCCCAGCTTCTTGAATGTTACTTTTTTGTAGAGCTTTATTATTAAACTGTTAAACTAAATTTCCAGCTATCAAGCCCTGTCTATATTAGCCATCTTGACTGCATCCTTAGTTTTCAGGTGTCAAGAGTTTGTGCTAAAGCATGAGACAAGGACGGGGTGCTTTAAATATAACTTGAGCATCTGTGTATGGTGTGACCCAGAAAGCTTCCTTGATTTTTCTCTCAGACCTTGGTGCTTCATGTTTTCTCTCTTGGATGTCTGTTTTTACTTTGTCAGAAGCTGTCTGCTGCTTTTAATTGTATTATTGCTAAATGTTCTTTATCAATTTTTATAGATGCTAACAAAAGTACTGTGTAGTCATTTTATATTCCTCTGTTCTCTCCCTATATGTCTCTGACCATAGCAAAGTTTGGCCACTTCAAGTTGGGTTATTAACACCATTATGTCTTTGTTTCCATTTTTAAGCTGCTTGCTGCTATTTAACTTCTGTGTATCTTGCAATTTTAGAACCGTTTTTGTTCAAAGAAAAAATTATGATCTGTTACTACCTAAATTCAGGCTTAGATTTCAAGGTGTATATAGAAAGATTTTTTTTTTAAGTGTAGTTGTCAAAAAATTTTTGTAAAATGGCACTTTTTTGCTTACTCTTCACTCTGGATGAAATTTCAGCATGGTGTACTCAGCAATATGGTTTCCATTGATTTCCACTCCCATGCTCATTTTCCCCTCCCCCCGGGAAAATATCTGGGTATTCAAAGTCATGTTTGCTTTACCTCGTTGAAGAAAGGCTTTTTATTCCTACTGTTAGCAAGAGAGCCAATACAGCAAAATTACTTTTTTCTGTTTGCAGAATTACTAATTCAAGTTCATTTGCTAAATTCTTGTCACTAGTCAAAATGTCTGAGCAAGATTGACTTTCAGTTCCTATGGCAAATTTTGTAGGCACAAAAAGAAGGTCTTTTACTAAAAAAACTGAGTAAATTCTACTTAAGATACTGAACAAAAATCACCAATGAATTGTAATTTTTATGGTATAACTGCATTGTAAAGTAAGTTAATAAAATGAGAATTATTTTTTAACGTGCTGGAACAAGAACTATATTATTTGGAAAAATAAATTGCTATTTCATGGTCACTGCCTAGTTCAAGAGTGCTGGTTTTATTTTTAATGTTTATTCCTATGTTTTAGTTGTGTTTGAATTTTATTTTTAGATTAAAATGAAGCATTCCACATGAGCAACTGCTAATTTATAATTGGATAATCATCTTGAGTGCATAAATAGAAATCTGCCCTTTGCAATCAAGTATGAGTGCAATGTTTGGAGTTGGTTTTAGGCTGAAATAAAAGTACATATTCTGTTCAAATTACCTGCCCACTTCTTTTCATCAAAACTGAATGTGGCATTCAAGAATGTTATTCTTCCTAACCGAACATTACCAAACTGCATTTTCTAGTAACAAAAACCCACATTTTATCATTTTTCTGAACTCTCTTCCTCTACCAGTTTGAGGGGTTTTTATATTCCGGGTAAGTCATTCATAATTGTGTCAGATACCCAAGTCAATTTGCACAAAAAAACCTGTTTAGGCTGGGATGGCTTGGCTTGGCTTGGCTTGGCTTGGCTTGGCTTGGGGTAAGTCCAAAAAGGACATCTCGGGTGGGGGTGGCAGGCATAAGATGCTATTACGCTTACAGTAAAGATGTAAGCTTTCTGTCTTTTATGAGAGATGAGAGTTGATACTGAGTGTTCATGACACTTTTTTGTTGAAAGAACAAATCCGTTTTTGGCTAGTGTTTGCTCCTGGTCTCAAAATACAATTTTGTATTGTCTATGAAAACCATGCTAACTGATTGCTGCTTTCTTTGCAGCTGTCACCATAGGCCCCATCTTCTCTTTTAGAAGTCCAGAATGGCTCTATAATAGGGATTTTTATATCACCTTGCATCAAGTCTTGGTTGACATTAATTGGACAGTCCCTTCTTGCTGCATCAGGATAACTTATTCAGGTGTAAAATGGGCAGAATCTCTCTTTTTTGTAAGGAAAAGTGGCAATCTCTGTAAGAATTTTTAAATTGTAGTGGTTAAGGGGTATAAAATGTCAATTTTATAGCGCTTTATAGGCAAGTGTTAACAAGGTTGAAATTAATGCAGTTCAAAATATAGTTTTTTCTGCTTTGTATTTTTCAGGTGACTCATACAATTTAATATAACTGCATCTAAGCAATTTAATTTGATTGAAGAATACTTGTGTACACACTTCACTTTGCAACTATTTTAGATTGCACAATATCCCTTTTATATAGTATTTGTACTTATATATATCTTGTTTATTGATATTGTGTTTTATAAGCAAATATGGCCACTAGTACTTTCTTTATTAGATACGATGCTTTTGCAGCAAGCAGCGAAAGTGTTAAACCAATGTGCATATTGAGTTTTGCTTAAGAATCATATAGTCCTGAGCAATTCTAGTGGTTTTATCCAATATTCATTATGTTATGACAAAGGCATAGTGACGTGTGGTCTGAATTCCATTAAATGTTCAATATGAAAGCATACAAGAAAGGCACAAGTACAAAGAGCCTTGCTCAAAAGGCCCCTTCAAAGCTGCCTACAACAATCAGACGTGGTGGTTCTAGAGATTTTGTGGATTAAGCACTATCTTCTCTTTCTATGGAGGAAGCTTACAGAGAAGCTAGTTTTAGTGGTTGTAGTCAAACATGTGAAGTGTTCCTTTTGTAGTGGAAATAACTAAACAGTAGAAAAAAGTATGCCTGGGGTCCAACTGAACTAGCCAGCTGGCTTATTTCCAGAGGCGTATTGAAAGATGATGATGATATAGGCCTTATCTATGCTATCATTGTGAAAAGAGGGCTAATGTGGATATTGCTATGCCTAGGACTATTTTGCCTTGTGAACACACTTGACACGGTTTTACTGTATTGTGTGTTCTGTACTGCAGGGACAGCTGCTTGAAGCAATGACTGCTGGGAGATGTTGAAAAGAGTCCGGCATTCTTTTGGAAGTTCTGCCAAACTGAAAGAAGGGAACAAACTCATAATTCTTTAGTGGATTTCCCTGTAGGTCCTAGAGCACAAGCACTGTTTCATTTAGCTACTTTTCCATTGTGTACAATTTAAGACATGCTTTAGAGTTGCTGTGGTTTCTTTTGTCTTCTGATTGTTGGCAAGTAGAAGGGACTGGTGGATATAGTCACAGGCCTCAAAAATTGTCTAGAGCAAAAGGGCACTTGTTCCTTCCTTTTTAACCATTCTGTACAAATGTATCCAGGATTTCCAAAATGTGCCAACAGCATATTGGTTACAGACTCTAATCAGTTCATTTGTTTAAATCAAATGCTTTGTTTGTCCTATATTGTCAAATCTTGCATAGATCATCACAAATAGGATAGCAAGATACTGTTAACTCAGCGTAGGGACCTTTTTTCAAGGAAATTAATCCACTCTGATACAGAAAAACTAGGGCAAGAACAGACTATCAGAGTAAAGATAGGGGTAGGCTGTGAGGCGGAAATGTCTAGTAGACTCTTGCTTCTATTCTCATGAAAACAACAGCAGAAAAGGATTTTTTTTCAAGTAGAAACAAAAATAAAAGGAGGCTTTCCACTTCTGCAATCTTCCCTTAGTACATTATTTGTTTTGAAAAATTATGGGACTTTAACATTTTCTTTAAGACTGAAAGATAGATGATGTCTACAAGCTTTTCTTCATAAGCCTAAAGGCAGTCCCCTCCCTATCCCCCAAGAGCTCTTGGCTAATCCCAGAAATCCAGTGGCAATATCTGTAAGAATTTTTAAATTATGGTTGTTAAGGGATGTAAAATGTCAATAATTTTATAGTGCTTGTAGACAACTATTTAATTCACAAGGATTGCAGGACCTTTAAAAGAAGAAAAAAAGATTTCTTTGATTCTAAAATGAAGGGTATTTTTCCCCATTTAACATGGTGGTGGGGAGCAGCCCCTTACGTTAGAACTATGAGGGCAAGGGGGGGGTATAGTTGCAGCTGCTGCTCCTGCCCCCACCAACTCTATACACTGCCATTTCTGCCTCCTAGCCTAGCCTCTGCTTGCTCCCTTGCCTGCCCTTCTTTTCCACCCCGCCCCTTACACTTGCTCTGTATGATGCAGCCCGGGGCACTGAGCACAGCCCCAAACTGGACCTGTAGCAGTAGGGTATGCTATGGGGTCTGGGCTGGGGCTGTGCTCGGTGCCCCAGGCTAGATGGGGATAGAGCCTCCTGGCATGGAGCAAGGGTAAGTGGGGAGAGGGGAACTAGAGGCTGGGTGTGAGGGGGAGCAGGGGGGATGAGGGGGCTTAAGGCTGCAGGAGAGGGGGAAGTACAAATGGCAAACTGCTTGACCCCACTGCCTGCCCCCCTGCAGCATTGGGGTGAGGGTGAATTAAAGATGACTTCCAATAACTAGATTCTGTACACAGAATTATAATGTTTACAAATTTCCCATGTATAGAATTGAGTTATAAGGCAGTTGTCTTAAATTCAGGGTTGTCTTATATTCAAGTTAATACAGTATACATGCACATACATATGCTACACATGAGCATGCTAGAAATATATTCTTTTTATGTTTTCATACATGATAAGCTAGAGCATTATTTAGTGTAACGCAACGCAGTTCTTCCTGCCTCCTTCATTTCCTAAATCCTTATTTGCATATCAAAGTCAACAGGGAAAATGATATGACTAAAGACCATTTAATGCATGGTATGCAGACCTAAATTAAATTAAATAGACAGGACAGTAACAACATCACTGAGCCAGGTTATCTTTAGTTAGTATATAAGATAAATGTATGCACTGTACCTGGTGGCCCTTTATAAAGCAGTAAAGGGAGCTTCATCATTTTAAGGAGCACATTCTACTGCATGCATCTGCCTACACCTTTGACTAGTGGCAGTGATGTGTCATAAATTGTTAACACATTTTTAAAGAAGACTTGCATATGTTTGCTAGATGGGCAATTTGATCATCCACTTTTGAAAGATCATGGTATAAAAGGTATTCTAATGTAAACATGTGAGAGGTCTAAGTTTGGGTTGTAGTGGAAGTAATAAATTTGAGTCCAGCCTGTTTTAAAACCTCAATCTTGTGGTGCTCTAATATAGGGGAGGGTTTGGCACAAAGTATAAATTACTTTTTCTTTAAGTTGCCAGTAGCTGAAAGGGAACTGTGCTTCACTAATCATTTTTAATGATGTAGTAGGAGTAAGCAGTTTTGATGATGAAACTAAATCAGAAGTAGTTGTAAGTACCAGTGAAGAGCGAGAGAGAACATAAAAGAAGACTGAGAGATTAGATACATGGACAGAAAATGACTAAATGAACTGGTAGGTGGAGCAAAGCAAGTGAACTTGGGGAAAATAATCTGAAGTACAGGGTATATGGAGAAACGGAATGGAGAAACCTAGTAGTGATAGGAGACAGCAAATCGCTTCCAATTTTGCAATTTAGTTTTGACCTGAGTTCTTCATGACAGAAGTGGATTCAAGAACAGTCTTCAACTACCTGAAGGTGGTTCCAAAGAGGATGAAGCTGGATTGTTCTCAGTGGTGGCAAATGATGGAACAAGGAGCAATGGTCTCAAGTTGCAGCAAGGGAAGTTTAGATTAGATATTAGGAAAAAACCTCACTAGGAGGGTAGTAAAGCACTGGAACAGGCTACCGAGAAAGGTTGTGGACTCTCCATCCTTGGAAGTTTTTAAGACCTGGATAGACAAAGCCTTGGCTGGGATGATCCAGTTGGGGATGATACTGCTTTAAGCAAAGGATTGGACTAGATGACCTCCTGAGGTCCCTTCCAACCCTCATTTTCTATGATTCATTGAGTACTGTTTGGGAGACTGCATAATGCAGTGCTAAGCAGAAATACTTGTGTTTAGGAAGCATAGGCACCAGAAGTGAAGCCTCTGCATTAGTTTGTGTGGATCTCTGCCCAAACATGACTTTATTGCTTCTCGGCCAGCTCAAGTATTTCTATATGGCACTGCATTTGCTCCTGATGACCTCTATTTATCCACACAACAGATTCCAGTCCATGTAACAACAGTGCAAGCTTCCTGCGTTGCTTTTTCCTATGTGCTGTGAGGACAAGATGGTAGCCCCCAAGTGCCATGCCTTCTTAATCTTTGGTTTCTCTGTTGAGACTACCAATAAAGGTACCAGTTACGGTGTTGGGGGAGAATGGTATAAGGAGACACCTGCTTATTAGAGACCGGAGAGAGATCACCAAATTTAGAATCTGTACTTTATCTGAAGAAATTCAATTAAGGCTTAAATGACTATACAAAATCTCTGATTCTGCCTTTGAAAAAGAAAGAAAAGAAATCCATCAGTCAGAAATTAAAAATTATTACTCT